CCACCTTGCTCTCCGGGGACGTGAATTCCATGCATATTAGTCCTCTTGATGGTGTGCTTTGGGTCCTGAAGCTTTTCTTAAGCTTTTCCAGTTTTTTTCCTTTCTCTGCCTCATACTGGATAGTTTTTAGCGCTATGTCTTCAAGTTCATTGATCTTTTAAGCTGTGGTGTCTAAGATCCTTTTCATCCTATCAGTGAAGTTCTTATTCCGGTTATTACGATCTCACCTCGCGATGTTCTCTTTCGTTCTTTTTATACCTTCTGTTTCTCTCCTCATTAAGTTCAGGCCTTCCTTCAAATCCATGAGCATATTTATAATCTTTATAATATCTACTGTAAGGCCCTTATCTGCTAATTCCATCATATCTGTCATTTCTGAATTTGTTTCTATTGACTAATTTTCCTCTTGGTTACGGGTTTCATTTTCCTGAATCTCAACACGTCTAGTACTTTTTTGACAGGATGCTAGTTACTGTGAACGTTATGTTGTTGAGTGTTGGATTTTGTTGTCTTCTTTTAAAGAGGGTTGCAGTTTATTTTGACAGGAGGTTGAATTTCTTGCATATCAGATTGATCCTTTCAAGGCTTTTTTTTTCCCTTTAAAAAAATATTTTTGTTTAAAACTTTTTATTGAAGTTTAACACGCATCCATAAAAGTACAAATATCATTGGTGTTCACCCACTTAACTGGCACTGAGGTTAACAAAAAAAAAAAAAATCACATTATCAGCATCCCTGAAGTCCTCGCTTATGCTCCTCAAGGCTTGATTTTAAGCTCTGTTCGGGTAGGGCAAAAATGATCTGTACTTTGGAGCTAATTTAGACTACTACGAAGACCTGGCCTCCTGGGGTCTCTGATCATTATCTTGAATGATCAACAAGACCTCCTTATTCTGGCTGGTCAGAGCTTGAATGATTCCTAGTCTGTGTGAGCTCCACCCTACAGGTGGGCAGATCAGTCTTCAGCAGATTAGCTAGGGGGACCCAATCAGATTTCTGGAGCTCTTTCGCTGAGTAGCTCCCTCTTGTCTGGTGCTCAGACCCACAAATTAAAACCACCTCTCCCTCAAACTCAGATCTCTAACCCGGCAAGACCGCTGTACGTTGCTGGGGATCCCCATCCTGGCCCAGGGTCCGAATCGTAGGCATCGTCCCCCTGCTTCCTCTCTCTCAGGGATCACACTCCTGCACTCTCTGTTGTCCAATATGTGAAAAACAGTTCTTTTCATATTTGTCCTGAGTTTTAGCTGTTAATTGTGGGGATGGGGGGTGGGGGTGAGGGTGGGAATCTAGTTCCAATTATTCCATCATGGCTAGAAGCAGAACAAAGGCCTCTTTTAATAAAATTTCCAGCACGGATGCCATGTTTTGCAAGATTTCATCTACCAAAATAACCCAATCCATATGTCCCCTCCATCCTTCCATTTATCTATTCAGTGGCTGCTAGATCCCTGGGAAACAAAGATGAATAAAACTTGATTCTTGCCCTCAAAGAACTCACAATTAAAAGAGAAAGCCAGAAATGTGTAATAAATTATCCTGCTGGATGGTAAGCACGGTTATACAAGCAGTACAAGGGGCTGTGGGGACACAGAGGGAGATACGGTCAAATCCACCTGGAGAGGTCAGGGAAGGTTTTTACAGTCTAACGTTGAGAGTTAAGTCTTGAGGAATGAGCAAGAGATTGACAGATGGGGCAGGATATTTGGGACGCAAGAAACTCTGTATGCAAAGTACGAGGTTATAAAGCAACATGTAAGCTTGGGAGAAATGCGGACGTTCTAGACACCTCTGATACGGGGTTCGAAGCAGTGAGGGGAGAGAGCTGAGGCTGTGGAAAAACGGGAGCATCGCACCATGAAGGAGGACGCTGAGTACCGCGCCAGTCACCATCCGCGTTGTTCATTCACCACCGCGAACTGCACCCATAGCACTCGCAGGGCATGAATCACACAGAGCATAGACATTACATTGTCACATCTACCTTATGAGGAAACTAAGGCTCAGAGACCTGAAGTCATTTTGTCCAAGGTCACACGGCTACTGAGTGAAGAAGCCAAGATGTGCGTACGAGGCTCTCTGACTCCAAAGCCCACAAAAGGAATTGGCCTCTAATCTATAGGCACTGGGATGCTATGAAAGGATTTTTTCTTTAGAAATTTTTTAAAAATTAAAAAAAAAAATAATAAGTAGGAAGGATATCTCGTCAAATTCATGTTTTAAAAAGGCCACTCTGGTGCATGAAGAAGGAAGGGCTGGGGTGTCCAGAGCCAGTTCAGAGACTGACGGGAACAGTGCTGGAGAGAAATGAGCCTGGATGAGGCGGCATCTAGGGGGGCTGGAGAAGAGGACCCGAGAATCACTCAAGGAGCAAGTCTGTCAGATGCAGTAACCAAGCAGCTTTGGCAGAAGGAAAGATTACGAGGTCAACTGCGCCTGTGCTGACGAAAAGGACTGAACGCCGGGGATGCGAAGCCGGGCGGGACATTTCTCCTCTCCAGGACTCAAGGGCTCCACAGCCTTCCAGAATGAAGGCCGTGTGGTCCATGGAAACACAGTGCGCGTCCCACAGACCACGCTCCCTCCCCACTGCGATCTCTGGAGTCTTTCCCGAGTCTAGAGCGCCATGCTGGGAACCGCTGCCATCCAACGTTCTCAAGCCCACCACAAACCGGCCTGGAAGCCAGGAGGCCCCTCGCGTGCAGGCTGAGGACGGGGAGGGAGCTGTCCTCCGACCCCGGCTGTAAACGGTAACAACAATTTCCCGGAAAACAAACGCGGGTGCTATTTTTCGCGCAGTGACCACATGTGCGCACTGTGCTGAGCACCTGATGAGTGCTGCCACCTCCTTTGGCTTAGCAATCGTGCTGAGGCCTGGTATTCCTCTTTTCCTAATGGGAAACTGAGGCTGAGAGACGGAAAGCAACATACCCCAGTCACTCCGGTTCTTTGGGGCCACTTCGCTGATCATTTAAAAGGCACCTTGGAATGTGCCACCTTCAGAAAGCCTCCATCCCCTTCTCCCAAACTGTGTCGCCCCCTGGACCCTTCTGCGCCTGATTTCTACTTCCTCTGTGGCCCGCGGTTTGGTATACTGTGATGCGTATGTAATTTACACACCTGTTTCTGCTAATGGACTTTGCTCTTTGAAGGGGAGGCCTACGTCTGCTGCGTTTCTGCCACTCGATGCCCAGCAGGGGGTCGGAGCCCCGCAGAGGGGACCAGTCAGTCTTCTCCACGGTTTCTGGGCCCCAGTCACTCATCCTGGGTTGCCCCAGGCCCCTGGCCATTCCTTACACCTGATATACCTCAGGCTCACTCACCACATTCACTCAACAGTTGCAAGGTCCATACCTAAGTCACCTGTGGCTCAAAGGAGGGCGCTTTTCCACTGAGAGGGAACCAGGGTAGCATTCCCTGGACCAAAAGAACTCAGATTACGGTTAGGAGGCCCTGAGATGCCAACCATGCACCCTGTTCTGACATGATGAAAAGCAAACCTCACAGTGTCTGGTACTTTTATCCTTCCTACTTCTGATCTCTCTCTCTTCTCTCTCTTCTCTCTCTCTCTTCGATCTCTCTCTCTCTCTCATTCTCTCTCTCTCTCTCTCTGCCTCAGAGGGGGTGGGGCAGTGGACATCGAGTAGAAGCAGCACAGGCTCCGGGGTGGTCCAGAGACTGCGGTCTCACCCTGTCTGGCCTGTGGCTAGGCACGTGCTCCCTGAGGTCCTTCTCTCCCTGTGGAAAGGAGAGAACACCTGCTCCACAGGCTGCGATGCGAACCGAATGTGATCCCGAATGCAGAAGGCACCGCGAGAGGCAGTGGGGCAGGTGGCTCTGTGGAGTGACAGAGTTGGGCTCACTTGTTGGCTCCCCCTCTCTCTAGCTCTGTGGGTAAAGTGGGAATAAGAAAAATACCTTCCTCAGAGTGGTGTGAAGAGGAAATGAGAGGTCAATGACAAGTGCTTGGTACAATGCTTAACACGCAGGAAGTCCATGAATGGTGGCCGTTGTTCACTGTGCTACAAATGGAACATCTTTACAGAGCACAAATGACTCTCTCAAAATCTCGCAGCGAGTTAAGAGTAGAGGAGGATGAAACCTTGTTGCAAGCCATCCGTCAGCAAACGGCAATGTCTCCGGAGACCCAATGCCGCGGTGCCACTGGCACTCTTGGCAATAACGGAGCAGCTGTGCCCACCAAACCCAAGTGACACAAACCCAGCCCCAACTCAGCAGCACGCTCCTTTCAACCTGGAAGCCAGAGTAACTCCACATACCATCCTGCAGGCAGAGGGAGGTCAAACCAGAAACACCAAAACCGTGCTTCCCAGTGAACCCTAGTCCTCATACAGACAATGGGGGACACTGGGGGACACTGGGTCTACTCAACCAGCTGCTCACGAGGCCGCTCTGAGAAGCAACATGAGACGGGTGTGAGATCACGTTAGCCTGGCAAGCGTGGCAGGCAGCAGCTTTTTGCTAAGTAGAGAATACATTCTGTCTAGACCTGAGGTCACAGAGAGATTTAGGGAACATGGAGCCGCCTTCAGAGCACTGTCAGCAGATACCCTGCGACGTGGGAAAATGGCTGCGTTTGATGATGGTCCAGGAAAGTAATGTAGGTTTGAAGTGCCCCAAACTGCTCACACTGAAAGCCCTCCCGCCTACCACAGGGGACGCTGCCCTGCTCCCGGGACACGGCAGTGTGCTGGAGAGGGATGGCAAGACCCTCAGGCTCCCATGGAAGGGGAGGCGTCCAGGCCCTGGGGTCACTTCACAGCCTTTCAGATGAAAGTTATGGGAACAAAACAAGACTAAAGAACGAACCACCTCCCGACTTTCTTCACTGAGACAAAGGTTGCAGAGAGAACAGAGAAACCAAGTGTCCTTCCTAGCCACAGGAAAGCCACAGCCGTCCCCAGCCTTCCCCGTCCCCACAGGGGCATGTCACATTCACGTCACCGCAGGAGTCAGAACCCCGAGGGCTCGTGACCTACCACGTCGTTCGGGAGGCTCTGGAGGTCGTCGAAGGGGGTTTCCAGGGTGTTGGTGTCCACGTTCAGGATCACGACGTCATCCAGGGCCATGTTTCTGACTTTCTGTAAATAAAAGTTCCAGAAGAGAAAGTCGCTGAAGCACTATAAGACACAGATGTCTCCCCCACCCCCGCCTGCTCTGGGGAAGGGGACTAGGGGGAAAAGTGACATTTGGCGAAGGCTTACTCTGGGGCAGGCCCAATGCGAGGCCATTTAACTGTCTAAAAACTTCATGAGCTTGAACCGTCATCCCCAAGCCCCAGGAGCAGAAAGGTTTTCACAGACATGAAGTTAACGTGCCGCGGTCACACGGCTAGGGAGAGAGCGTCATACCCCAATGTCATTTCCCCCCACATTTCTCTCTTTTTTTTAAGAAGAAGCTGAGACCTAAAGCTCTGGCCCAGGACTCTGACGTGCGGCTTGGCTCTTAGGACACCTGTGTCCGCTCCCGCTCTCATTTACAGGCCACCTGCCCAGCTCTCTTGTCTCTCGTCATGCCTGGGTATGGAATACGGTGTGTGGCCTAGTGTTAACATGTTAACGCTTCCCTTACACATTAAATTTGGTTCCATTTTCCACAGAAATCCAGCTAGCGAACCATGGCTCAGAAGCTGTGGCCATGAGCCTTGATTCCACTGGTCCGGGGAAAGGGAGATTCGCGCCTCCTGGGTGTTCGTGTTCGGCGGGGGCGGGTGATGGGGGGGGAGGGTAACGAGCTGCCGTCTAGAAGCAGCTCTCCACGGTCCGCAGGAGTATGAGACTGCACGGCCCGAGGTTTCCATTTGCACGCACACTGTTTACCCTCTGCTAAAATCCACCTCCATTTTTCTCCTGCCTGCCCCCCGCTCCCAATCTCATTCAATCCTCTTACCTCATCATAGATCTGAGCTCATTTCTTTAGACTCTAGAACTTCAGTACTACTGCTCTATTTAGTTTTGTTCTGTTTAAGGAGAAAGACCATATAATTTGTCCAAACTGGGACACTTGGGATATAAGAGAGAGGATATATGCCAGGCAAAAGGGATCAAATGGGACATAAGGTCGCCCTATACGTAAGGGATCAACTTCATTATCAGCCACAGTCTGAGCTACTGCATCTGACTGTGCAAGCGTGTACGGACGGCCCAAGGATGCCCGGCCAGCCAAGCCGGGGCTGAAATCTGCCAGCCCGCGTGCCTGCCGAGTGGCATCGACAGGTGTGGTGGTGGTAGGAGGGAGGGGACGCCTTTTCCTAATTCGCTCAAGAGCATCGTACCGGCTAGCGATGGAGCTGGGCGTCCCGACGGCTGCGAAACCGAAGCTTGCGAGTGCTCTGGAAATGGGCAATTATTACAAGGTACCAAAAGCCCACTGGTGCTTGTTCTATGCTTTACTCACTTTATCTCATTTAATTCTCATCAAAGCCTACAAAGCGCATGTTATTATCCTCATTTCATGGAACTTGTGGGAAATGAGGTGCAGAGAGGTGAGGTGAGGGGCAGAGGCAACGCACGCCGGCCGCCTCAGCAGCCCATGCTGTCTGCACCCGACACCAGCCTCCTGGTCATTAGACACCCTCAGTGAGACTGAGCTCCCCGTAGCCCTTGTCACTCCAAACCCCAGGACCCAGGTGCCTGCCTGCCTTCCTAGGAGCTCATCTGTTTGGCTCACCACTGGGTAATAACCAGCACAGACAAAATGAATGGCATTTGGCAAGTGCTCATTAATATTGGTCAACATTTGTTGTCTCAAACCCCAGCCTCCAGGACACAACTTGGTACCTGAGTAAACATTTCCAGATTCCTCCCGGCAGGAGGGTGGAGCCCTGCTGGTCAGAAGCTTCCTGAGGCTGAAATAACACTCCCAGAGGGCCAAATCCTGGAATCCCTCCACTTAGGAACCCAGGAGTCTCAAACTTCTGCAGCTGACTTCTTCAAGCCCTCGGGGGCTAGTCCACAAACCTATTATCAATTCGTAAACTTGAACTAAGTGCCTACTATGGGCTGAGACCCACACAGAAGGGACTAGATGTCCTCCTAAGAAGTCAGTCGTTAACTGACTGCCTCACTCGCAGGGGAAAATGCTATCAGCAAACAGTGTCCATAACAATACACATCACTAGTGTTTCACAAAGCACAGCCCCCACCGTGCAGATGAGCTCACTAAGACTTGGGGGGAATTGCCCAGGGCTCTTCAGCCGCCTCCCTTTGAAATCCCACAGGTTAAGTACCTAGCAGGGAGCTAGCAAGGTGCCGCAGCAAGTTAGAAAACAGCCTCAACGACAGTCTTTGTCACTCATATCACACTCCGGAGCTCACACGGCAGTCACTGCACAGTCACTGCACAGACTCTTTCGTTTTCAGCAATGTGGCTGCGGGTGAGGTATCATCATTCCCGTTTCGGAGATGAGAAACTGAGGCTCAGAGGGGTGAACGGGTTTCCCCAAGGCCATGTGGCTACTCCGTGGCTTCTTCATCTGTAAGATCAAGAGAGTGGCTGTGACCACCCTCTCATCACTGTCCCCGGGCTGCTGCGAGAATCAGAGGTAGCGTGTGCCCGGTGCTGGGCACATGCAGCTACTAATAAGGAGCAGCTATGACTTTATAACATGCACATCGGCCACGGCCAGTCCAAGAGGCAATGGCCTCAGGGCGAAACCTCTGTCCCCTTCCTGGCAACCACTGGGCTCTCATTTCAAAGACATGGGCCCCAGACACAGAATCAGCAAAGGGACTCCAAGGGCTGAGCCACAACGAGTGGGGGAGGCCTCGAGGACTGAGCTGAGGGCTGCCGCACCCCAGAATCCCTTATCCTGCTGCATCTGACCTTCCGAAGAGCTGCAGAAGCGGGGAGGAGGCCCTGGCCGCTGGAGTGAGGGCTCAGGGGCTGAGGGGCCCAGAGAGGAGGTGCTGGTTCTAGACCAGAACTGGCATTCCTTCTGTGTTCCCAGTGGGGCCCTGGCAGCACAGACGAGCCCTCTGGGCCCTCCACGGCTGAGCTAGGGCAGGTTTTTGATTTCTTCCCACTCCTGACTGGAGGACTTGCTGGTTAAGCTGTGTGGAGTGTTTACTTTTTTAACAATGGCGGCAGGCTGAAGGAGAGGAAAAAGCCTGGCCCTTTTTGCTGACCTAGCGGGCCAGGGTCCCCTTAGTAACCAAGATGCCCAAGCACCAGGCTCCAAGCAGGAGCTGGGTCAGCATGGTTTCCTCTTAGAGGACAATGCCACCCCCCATCCCCCGCCCCGCCGGCAAGGACTCTTCCAAAGGGGCTGGCACGGGCTCAGGGGCCTTCCTGAAGCTTAGTGTCCCTGAGGCAAGGATCGGAGGCCAGCTCGGCCGAATGGTGCCTTACCCCTGAAAGGCACAAAGAAACAAGGGAAAAAAAACAAAAACGAAACCCATAAAAACGCTCACACTATGGGTGGGGTGGGAGGCGCTGGTGAAGAAGGAAGGTGGGCCATTCCGGGGTGCCAGGTCCTTCCACCCCGTGCATGGTATGAGGAAGAAACTACCATCTCCACGGTGACGACGAGGAAACGAGGCTCCAAGAAGTCAAGAAACTGCCCCAAATCACATCGCTACTGAGTGGCACTTTTGAACCTAGTCTGACGACCCACTCGTTCCGAAGGTGTCCCCAAACCAATGCTCGGACACGCAGTCAGGCCAACATTCCCAGGACCTGCTTTCTCTTGTCTTTTGTATCATAAAAATTACACATGCCTATTGTAAAAAGAAGTGGGGAAGACAGAAAAATTCAAAGAAAATTATGGTTACCCTCATCCCTCTATTTGGAGATAAAATAGAGTGCTTCCTTCGACATCCCTCTCTGCTCCATCCCTGCTTTTAAAAACACAGTTGGAACAACTCTTCATGTTTCTGATTTTCTCATTGCCATATAAGCCATGCTCCGCTTCATTAAAAGCTTTGTAAAGATCATTACTAATTGTTACAAAATGTCTAGCTTCGCGGAAACAAACTCAACCAGGCCCCTTTTGTTGGCTGTTATTTCCAGTTGTTAAGAAATTATTACACGTAATATTGTCGTGAAGTCCGTAGGCACAAAGCCCTGAGCTTCAGGATGGATTCCTGGAAGAAGAATTTACTTTCCACTTCTTAAAAAGTGTTCCTCTCAAATTCGACTTTGAGAAAGATAGCTTTACTTCCAATTATTTTAAAGTCATTTTATCCACAGCTTGTGTTTCCTACTCCAAGTGAAGAAAAATCAGCAAAGACATGAGCAGATGTCAAAATAGTCCTCCAGAAACCCTACCCAATTAAAGCACTTACTAGTCCCGCAGCACACCGAGGCGGCTCTCCGGTAGCTGGCCCCACCGACACATTCTCTCTCTTTTTAGTTACAACATATGCCAAAGCTCCTGCCAGCTGCAAACCGTCCCCTCACCAGACTCTATAGTCTTTTTCTCAGAATGAAAAAAAAGAAAAAAAAAAAAAAAACCCCGACACACACACACACTGGCTTTCCAAATGGCATTCTCGCACAGAGAAATACACAATAATGGCATCTTCCCATAAATACTGTTAATCGGAAAAGTTTTTCCCTTTATGCTTTGGCACAGAGGGACTTAGCTTGACCCCTGCCTTTCAGGACAAGGAAGGGAAAAATCATAGTATGGGAGGTGGTTGGGGCGGCCGAGAGCACATAGGCTCTAATGTAAGTGTCACCTTTGGATTGTCCCTTACCTCGTGGATTGCCTTAGGCAATTCACCCAAACTCCTATGTGCCCCAGGCTTTCATGCGTGAGGTGGGCATCGTGACAAGACCCACCTCACAGAGTTGCGAGGACAAGTGAGTGAGTGTCAAAGAGTTCACAGGATTCTCAGGACCTCCAGAACAGGAGTTTGGCCAGCAGTGGCTCTCTTGCCTGTCTGTTCCCCTCTCCTTCAGAGGTTCCTGAGAACTCAGCTGGGCCTGGCTAGGGGCAGTCCAGAGGGCCTGAGGTAGCAGGAAGTTTGCCTTTCCCTGAGGTCCCTTGTGCTTAGTCCCACAACCAGAATAAAAAGTCAATCTAGAGTTATTTCTACAGGTATTCAAATCTTCCCCTAGTCTGTGGGTTTCTTGGGGG